TTAACTTTGACCTTAACATAATTTTTTAATACAAAAAGTTGTGTTGAGCATATATAAAAAGTAACTCACACAGCTATGCATTTCACATCTTTGTACTAACAAACATACACAGTATTTTTATTCAGCTATAAGCCTATAAAACAGAACCAAGCTCATAAATGTATTTTTTTTTAACGTGCCACTTCAGAGAACTTGTGATCCAGTGACACACTGCTATTAAAAAAACTAGCTATATTTTTACAATCACATTTAGTCTTGAAACGGACTTGTTTAACTGCTAAAAAACCAAAAACTGAACGTACCCCAAAAAGAAATGCAGTATTTCAGGAACATCGTTTTTATTTTTTTCCTCATATAAATTGGGAATGCACCTACAAAAGATATTTCTTTACAAGCAAGACTTCAGTCTCCCAGCCCTGAACTTGGTATTTCAAGTTCAGCTCCACAGCCAAGTACACCTGGCCTCTAAGAACAGATCATCTCACAAGTATCTGACAGAGCAAGAAATCGCTGTTTGGGGGGAAGCTTGTGCTTGAATCTCTTAGTTTGCTACCTGATTATCTGGATGTACCATTAAAAGCACTATCCTAGACAGAAATAATCTAAAATGATTAGATCAAAATAACCTGCCAATTAACCATGGCATAATTACACCACTTAAATGAGAGCAAAGTCCTCAGAAGACAACAGGCTCAAAATGCTGTATTTTAGCTGACTAAAGCTCCAATGGCACTTCTGTGGCACAGATCTGAACTTAAGCTTAGGAGTTTTACAAACTCTTGATAAACACACATGAAGCTGAAGCCATGCTAACAATGATCACCTTTAAAAAACTTAATTCTTAGTAGCAAAGAGGACCAGTGCAAAAAACTAAGACCTAGAGGACAACAATACAGAGGGAATTAATTGTTGCCAGAAAAGTTTAAGGTACAGTTTCGTACCATGCCATTCTTGCCATTAGGGCTTTTGCTTCTCATATTTGAAATCAAACTGTGCAATTACTAAAAATATGAAGCAAACAAGTGAGCAAGTTTTGTGATGTCACTGGCGAAAACAAACCACACACAAGATGACATGGCTGGATCTGCTGATCGCTACTTTAAACCAATTCCTTATACTTTCTTGGAGGGAGAGATTACCACATTATGTGCTTTCCTTTGCACCTTAATGCAGTATTTTGTTATTTTATTTTTAAACTCTTCCTATAAGCTCAGGAGATTGCACTGACCCTAGAACTCTAAAATCATTTTTTTGACTGTTCAGTATAACTTACACTCTATATTTGACAGAAAACATACACCATTTACACTGCTCAGACAAGCTGCCCTATGTGATGGAGGTATAAGCAAAAAAAAAAAACCGAACAAAAAAAACCCAGTATGCAAATCTGTACTCAAGAGCTTTTGAGTTGTGTTCACGATTGGGACACAATACAAATGCAGTAGCAGCTTTACCACAACCCTGCTGCATTCTGCTCCTGTATTAAGCCCACACAATTCCTACCCGGTTCAACCCTGAACATGAAGAAACATAAAAGAAACATCTTCCCTAGGAAATGATGGCTAAGGTAGCCACTAGGAAACCCGGCACATGGGAAAATTGCCCCTTCATCTCACAGGCAGCTCAGGAGTTGGACACCATGGCAGAATATGTAAAGTGTGACTTAGGAAAACTCTGTATTTCACCCTGCACTCTCAGTAGAACTGAAGCATTAATGTTTCAAGCAAAAGTTGGATACGTTACGTGGTAGCTGCCGAAGCACTAATGAGTAAAAAAGGATTCAGAGGTTCAGTTTATCTAGAAAATAGATTTTGCATTTAAACAGAGGCTCATTTTGTCCATAAAGCATTCAAAGTATGTGGTTCACAAGCCCCACACTGAGAATACAAAAACTTAATGGGCAGATCAAAACTTAGTCTGTGCCAGACACGATTCCATAAGCATTAAAAAGTGAAACCTATTGACGTGCCACCCACAAACTACCTTCTCATCAGTGTAAAATATATCCTGTAAATCTAACATACTACAGCCCATGGGCTAGTGCCAGTTATAGAAACAATGAGATCAAGGTTTTCCACACAACTCCCAGCATCCAACCTCGCAGGGTAGACAAGATGTGACCACATATCCGCACCATGATAAATCCTTTGACGAGTTTTTTCCCCACTCCCAAGAGCAGGGGAAAAAAAAAAAAAAAAAAAAAACAACAAAACTAAACCAAAAAACCAAACCCTATATTATTCATGCAGAGAAGAATGTGCGACACAGACAATCCTCAAAACATTTCAGCTGCCCGCAAAGCTCAGTTGTTTGTATTAACAGAAAGAACCCCGATGGACTAATTGCACTCTTACCGTCGTTACAAATGAAGAATTGTTCTTTATTGGCTCTTGTAAAGGAACTGGAAACGGAGAAGGCATTTTAGTGAGCTACTCTAAAACAGTCTGGTATAAACATACCTATCTGTACAACAACATTAATCTCTTCCCGGTTTCCAGTAGTTTTGTTAATATGTCAGCACTGATTTCAAGGAGCATATGTGTGATTTAACAGTTTACCGAGTTATTCCACTGCTCAGGAGCAATACAAAGACTGGAGGAAGTGACTGGTGAGACTCAGGAACTGCATGCAGTAAGAAATTCAGACACAACCACTTTCTCAACTGAGTGTGAAATTCCCAACATGGTATTCTACTGCATTTTAGCTAGAGAGTAAAGCTAAAGATCAAATGTCCTAGATGTCAAGTTCCCCATATTCCTTCCCACAGCAGAAAGGAAACTGTACTCTCTTCTACCATCAAAACTTCACCATAAGACCTTCCGTCTGTGGAGGGGGAACTCTGTTACACTGCTCGCTTACAAGTTTTCCAAAACTCTTACTTTGCAATACGTAACGAGATACTTGAAGATTTCGTTGCTGGTTTTGAAAAGCCACAATAAAATTAAGTCTGGTAAACTTGGACTTGCCGATGCCGTTAAGAAGTACCTCAGAGGAATTACTTGTACAGAATTTCCTCTCTGTGCTACCACCAGCTGTGCCAGTGGTAGCAACAGCAGAAATATTGTTGTAAATAACCACTTTATTCACCAGGGGCTGCCGAGCACAATCACCAAAACCGAGTTTTGAAAAGCCACAATAAAATTAAGTCTGGTAAACTTGGACTTGCCGATGCCGTTAAGAAGTACCTCAGAGGAATTACTTGTACAGAATTTCCTCTCTGTGCTACCACCAGCTGTGCCAGTGGTAGCAACAGCAGAAATATTGTTGTAAATAACCACTTTATTCACCAGGGGCTGCCGAGCACAATCACCAAAACCGAGCATGAATTAAAAAAATAAGCGTCTGTACATTGGCAGCCTCCTTATCCGCAGCAGCAACCGCTCCTTTAACCCTGTTGTGAGGAGCCTCTGGCCGGGCCTTGCCCCGGTTACCTGGAAGGGGCAGGCGGGGTCTCCGGGTCGGGTCAGTGGCCCCGCTGAAGGGGCCGTGGCCCGGGGGGGGCCCCCCAGCAGGACCCCCGGGGGGT